TATTTTTGATAGACGTCACTATTATGTATTGAAATTATTACACTTTTAAAATAAAACAACAAAAGTACTACAATACTAAACGTTAGAATTTTTTAATAATTTTAAAAATCTTATATGAAATTCTCACATTGAAATCAGCGCACCGAAAACTTTTTTGGTCAATAATTCTCTGCAGCCAGTAGTAACATGTATGTAATTTGTATTTTTTTACTTTTCATGAGACAATATATGCAGTTTTTATTTCATTCATAGTTTCGGATACGTATGTAACATTTTGTTTTTACTCTATCGTAAATATCTGATGTTGCATAGATGACTAGAACTCGAACTAGAAGATTATCATCAGCCTATTAAAAGTCCACTGAAATGAACATAGACCTCTCACATAAATTGTCAAGTAGCTGGATACTTGCTTTAGTTTCCCCACACTTGGTAGGCGGGTTAGCAACCGCAGCTATTAATATTTTTATCTGTTGTCAGGAATATGATGCTGTTCATCTCCTGTTTGTTTTCCTATGTCGCCTCTTACGACGAAACGATTTGAGGTGCCGGATTCTCTTTCACCGCCACAACAAGGCGAAAATTTCGTTACTCCCGTTCATGAGTGTAATTCTCCCCACGTTCACTGTAAATAAAATTTATAAAGAATAAAACTAATTTTATAGATTTCATCGCGTTTATATCATAGGTATAATAGAATAGAATCAGAATAGAAAAACTGCAGTACTATGCTTGGGTTTGAAATTAATTTTATTAATTGTAGGGTTCTTAGCAGATGGTAGCACTCAGCCATCTTCCCTATTAAAATTAGTATGTTTTTTAATTTCAATAGCCTGTAGAATCATCATTGGTAGGAATCGGTTTTCTATTGCAAGGGTTTGTTGTCTATCAGATCCGATATAATTGTTAGGACGACACTAAGCACGTTGACATTCTTTAGACATTCCATCGAATCGTTGATGTGAAACCAAACTTTCACATATTATGTTCTTTTATGCGGGTTTTTAATGAAATTTCTCCGTAGTTCTGCTACTCGACACTAGAGGGCGCTAATGGTGACTAGTGTTGCCATGTACAAGACATTAATAGTGGCGCGCAACAATGCCCCCTCCTAAGACATACTCGTCCCGAGCATTATTGGCCCCATAATAACGCACCAGTCGATCCACATGGACGATCTTAAGAGTACCTCTGGCACATTTCTGTATCCGGTAGGTTACGTCATTGATCCTTGTCACAATCCAGTACGGTCCATCCCATTTAGCTTGAAGCTTAGGAGATTCCCCTTTGCTGCGAGCTGGATTGTGTAACCACACTAGTGAACCTTCATCAAACCCTTTGTTGTTCATTTTGCGGTCATACCGTGTTTTTATCTTCTCAGACGTTTGCTGGCCCGACTCTCTGACGTGCTCATAAATGTCATTCATTTTGTTCCGCAAGTCATTTGCATAATCGATTATACTGCGTGGGGCATCAGGTGGTATTCCGGTGATCAGGTCTGCAGGCAGCCGTAATTCTCTCCCAAAGTTTGCGAAAGCTGGCGTCACTGATGTATTTTTGTGAACAGCGCTTCGATATGAGAACAAAAACGGTTGTATGTGCCTGTCCCAGTCTCGTTGCCGTTTTTCCACAACTTTTGCTAGGTACCTCTCCAATGTCTGATTAAATCGTTCTACCATTCCATCAGATTGTGGGCGGTATGAAGTTGTTCTTGTTTCATGAGTACCCATAACTCGGCATGTTTCCTGGAATATTTGAGACTCAAAATTCCTTCCTTGGCCGCTGTGAATCTCTAAAGGTACTCCAAAACGACAGAAGACTTCATGAACTAGTTTATCTGCAACAGTTGAAGCTTCTTGATTTGGAATGGCGAAAACTTCTGGCCACTTAGTGAAGTAATCCATCACTAGCATGAAATACTTGTTACCACTTTCATTTTCCGGAAACGGCCTCGCAACGTCAATGGCTATCCTCTCCCATGGTGCACCAACATTGTACAATTTCAATGCGCCTCTACTACGAGTTTGAGGTCCCTTTACAGCCGCACAAATTGTACATTTGCGGCACCAGTTCTCAACATCGTCACGACAGTTGGCCCAGTCAAACCGTTCTCGGATCTTCAGTAGAGTTTGTTTAACTCCCAGGCGGCCTCCTGAACAACCATTATGGTACAGCTGTAGAACATCCGGTACTTTAGCCTAAGGGACAACCATTTGCAAATGACAACTGTCTCCCCGACCATTTTTCCATTTACGGCACAGGAATGGAAATGGAATACTGTTCCCATCTCTGGGCAGGGGCTCCTCAGTGCCAGCTCCTTCCACTTGACCGCATCCAACGCAGAGCGGCTCGAATTGTCGACGACCGAGCCCTTTCCGATCGGCTCGATTCATTGGCACTGCGAAGAGATGTTGCATCCCTTTGCATTTTCTTTCGTATCTACCATGGGGAGTGCTCTGAGGAATTGTTCGGATTAATCCCAGCCGCCAAATTTCACGAACGCACATCGCGGCAGAACTCCCGATACCATCCACACCATCTGGATGATTGGCGGTCCACCACTGTGCGATTTAGAAGATGTTTTCTTCCTCGCACGACCTCTTTGTGGAATCGATTACCATCAGCGATTTTTCCGGACCGATACGACTTAGGGACCTTCAAGAAAAGAGCGTACTCCTTTTTAATAGGCCGGCAACGCATCTGCGATTCCCCTGGTGTTGCAGTTGTTCATGGACGGCGGTAGTCACTTACCATCAGGTGAGCCGCATGCTCGTTTGCCCCCTCTCCTATAAAAAAAAAAAAAACAGGACTCCATCCTGAATCAGCAAGCTGTCCCATTGGGCCCAATATCTTTTCGTGGTCGAACTCATTGCTGAGACGTCGCCCCACTTGGCCTTAGGAGCACTGGCCTTCATCCATTCCAGAATCGGCTTGATGTCCGAATCTTCCTGCTGTGCATGTTGTAGGTTGTCCTTCCACTCATTGCTGTGCTGGTCTGTCTTAAGTATCCTCATTGGTACCACTTTCTTACCCTCTTGCCTAGTATAATACTTGCACTCTTCAGGACAAGGTCTTCTTGACAATGCATCTACATTGCCATGAGATTTCCCGCTGCGATGTTCGATCACAAAGTCGTATTCCTGCAGTAGTTCAATCTATCTCGCAACTTGTCCTTCCGGATTTTTGAACTGCAATAGCCATTTCAGTGCAGCATGGTCAGTTCGCAAGTGAAATTTCCGCCCAAGAAGATATTTGCTGAAATGCTGCAAGGACTTTACCACAGCAAGCAATTCCCGTCTTGTGATACAATAGTTCCTTTGCGGTTTTGACAACGACTTGCTGAAGTACGCTATCACAACCTCTTGATCACCATTCCGTTGAGACAACACACCGCTAAGTCCTACATCACTTGCGTCTGTGTCAACTATAAATTCCTTCCCCGCATCAGGGTACCCCAAAATAGGTGTTTTGCACAGACGGTACTTGAGCTCCTGGAATGCGATATCGCAACTTTCATCCCAGCAGAAATGTCGCTTCTCCTTGGTTAGCTTGTGCAGAAGTTTGGCTATATCTGCAAAGTTCTTCACAAATCGCCGATAACAAGAGCACAAACCCAAAAATGCTCTAACCTGTGTCTTGTCTTTTGGAACCGGCCACTCCTTGACAGCGGCAATTTTTCTCTGGATTCGTGCGGATACCTTCTTCCGACACTACATATCCCAAAAAGCTAACTTTTCGTTTCAATAGTGAGCACTTCTTCGGACTCAACTTGAGGTTGGCACTCTGGATCTTCATGAGCACGCGTTCCAGGTGAGCGTCGCCATATCTCGCCTCCAATGCCTCAAGGAGCTGCTCGTAAGTCACTTCCTTACAGAGAGCTTCCAGAACAGTTAAGGCCTGGTCGCGCAGGCCTAGGGTGAGAGCAGTCATGGCCTGACTTATTCCAGCCGTTGGCCTTCATGACAGCCTCGAACTGGATTTTGTAGGCCGACCAGGAAGAAGTCCCGTCAAACGGTGGCCCTTTGAATATATCTAAAACACTAAAAAGTTACCTTAGCAATTACGAACTTTGATCTATTGCAAAATGCATGCTATGCAACTCGCAACTATGTAGCATAAGGATAGGTGCACATTAAAGTATAAATGTTTGCTAAATATTATTACAGCTAATTATAGTAAGTACATATAGTTTGCTCTTTAGAGTTCTACAATAAAGCTTAAAAATATAATTGGAATTTTTCTAATTACTGTATTGGATTACCTAGATATTACCTAAATCATAACAACTAATAAAAGAAACAATTGAGTAAATTAAACTGGTTGTTACACTTATTAATGATGTAGGTCAGAAATCGAACCTAAAACAATCGTAATCATAACCACTAATATTAAGTAACGATGACACGTTCTACCTAGAACAGAATAGCTTACAATGCAAAACGTACTGGCGTCTTGATAACGCGGCCACATCGCGTTGTTTTTGGAATTAAAACTTTGCTAGAAGCGTCTGCGTTATTTATGCTAATAAAACTATCGTTACTACTATCATCACGAAAATTAATGTTTTTGCTTAAATCGTTTTCGTTCAGAATGTGCGCGGGCTTTAACCTATCCATAGAAATAGTACTTTCTTTTTCTCCTATTTTTATGACAAAAGTTTTCCCTCTCCTGCTTATGACGCTATAGGGCCCATCATAAGGTGGTTGAAGAGATTTTCTCATCACATCATTCCGAACAAATACATATTTACAATTATCTAAACTACTAGGAATAAATAACGAACGCGAATTACGGTGGCACGGTGGTCTCGGATTCAAATTACGTATATTATCCCGTAACGTTTGTAAATATTCCGAATCCGTATTGCAAAATTTCGCATCTTCGAAGAAATCACCTGGTAATCTGATTGGTTTACCGTAAGTTAATTCAGCTGCGCTCACACCACTGTTACTTCTAGTAGTGGCGCGCAGACCTAACAGCACTACTGGTAATTCATCTACCTATGAACTGTTGCATTTTAAGCGTGCCATTAAATCCACTTTCAGTGCTCTATGCCAACGCTCAACCATGCCGTTACTCTGTGGATGATAAGGCGTGGTGCGCAATTTGTGAATACCTAAGTATTTCATTAACTGGTGAAAAAGGTTACTCTCGAATTGTCTACCCTGGTCGCTGGTCAGCTTCGAAGGGCATCCGAAACGAGAGATCCAACCTTCAAACACTATTCTCGCTACAGTATTCGCTGTAATGTCCTGTACCGGAAAAACCTCGGGCCATCCGGTACATCGGTCTATCATTGTTACACAGTATCTATGACCGTCAACCGAAATAGGTAATGGCCCTACTATATCTATGTGTAAATGCTGAAAACGATCGGGTCGATCAAACTGCCCTACACCCGATACAGTGTGCCTTGTAATTTTAACCTTTTGACAATTAAGACATGCCCGTGCCCACTTTGCTACATCGCGATCCATATCTGGCCAAAGAATTTTTTTTATTAAGCTTTTGGTTGTTTTAATGCCAGGATGACTGAGGTCATGGACGGAATGAAATGCTGACTGCCTGAATTGTTTCGGTAAATAAGGTCTAATATTACGTGATGAGTTTTCACAATACACAGGCTTCTCACAGCCGGGCAAATGACACTGCTTAAATTGCAAGTTGCTATCCGACACCTTTAATGCTTGTTGTAGGTATTCATCACTAGCTTGCTGTATTGCGATGTCCGGGTAATCTAACATTGTTGGGCAATTTATTGTCTCTATGCGCGATAAAGCGTCGGCCACTACGTTTTGTGTTCCGCTAATATAGCGAATATCAGTGGTACTTCCTTATTGTTCCTCCTCGGACTTTCCTTATTGTTACCAACTTTAAGGAATGCATACACTAGCGGCCTATGATCCGTAAAAATTGTTAGAATGCGACCTTCCAGTAAATTTTAAAATGTCTGACGGCCATACAAACTGCTAATAATTCCCTATCATAGGTTGAGTATTTATTTTCAGACTCAGACAACTTTTTTGAGAAAAAACCAAGTGGTTGCCAAATATTATTTACCTTTTGTTGTAATACTGCACCGATACTAGTGTTCGAAGCGTCGGTCATCAGCGCTAAGTCCGCGTCGGGTGAAGGATAATGAAGCGGAGCGGCGCTTTTTAGGCTTCTTTAGGCACTTCAAAAATGCTTCGTTGGCCCAATCAGTCCAGTAAATTAAAGTTTTATCGCGCTTTTTAGTATTATGCAAATACGCGTTAAGTTCTGTCTGATAGTCGGCTGCCATAGGAATATGAGATCGGTAAAAATTCAACATACCTAAGAATCGGCGTAGCTGCTCGACGGTTTCCGGTCTCGGATAACTAACGATAGCCTGCACTTTGCGGTCAAGGGGACGTACTCCCTCCGACGACACCTCATATCCTAAGAACTCTAACTTCGCCTTACCCAAGTCACATTTAGAAACATTTATCGTCACCCCATACTCGTTAATCTCTGAAAAACTTTGTCTAAATGTTCTCTATGGCTGACTATGCAGTCACTGGCGATGATGACGTCATCGAGGTAAACGAATAAGAAGTCAAGACCTTTGAGGACCACCGAATCCATAAATCTTTGGAAAGTTTGGGCTCCGTTTCTTAATCCGAAGATCATGCGCGGAAACTCAAACAATCCAAAGGGTGTAATTATGGCAGTCTTCTCAATATCCGATTCTAGCACTGGAATGAAATGATACGCCCGTTTCAAATCTAATCGGGTAAATATCTTATTATTACCGGCTAACACGTACTTAAAATCTTGCAGCCTTGGTATAGGATAGCGGTCGGGCTTAGTTATCGCATTCAACCTACGGTAGTCGCCACACGGACGAATGTCCCCGCTTTTTTTAAGGACAACGTGTAAAGGGCTTGCCCATGCACTCTTAGATGGTCTACATATTCCTAGATCTACCATAAGCTTGAACTCCTCCTTAACCTGCTTGTACCTGTCTGGAGGTAGAGGCCTAGCCTTTGCATGGACGGGTGGGCCTGTTGTCTCGATGTAATGACATACGGAATGCTTAGGAGTCTCCTTATAAGACACAGGTTTAGTTAAATCCGGGTACTTAAGTAACATATCGTGCCATTCATTTTTACTATCTATGGTTCTAATAGACGACTCACCGTTACTATTGTACGCTACAATCGAAGCGAGAACATTTAGATGCGTAACTTGATCTCTTAATTTCCGCGCGTGTAAATCTACCAACAGTTTATAATGGCTTAGAAAGTTGGCGCCGATTATAGGCTGTTTAACGTCCGCTATAATAAAAGACCATCTAAATGCTCTCCTTAAATTAAAATTTAAAAGTAGAGTACGCATACCATAGGTTCTGATTTCCGATCCATTCGCCGCATATAACTTATAATTATCGCTCGCGATAGGTAACGACGCATACTTTTTCACCACAGGGATCACAGATACGTTGGCACCCGTATCAATTAAAAACTTAAGTCTGGTATTCTTGTCGAAAACGCATAGGCGGTTATTATGTAACCCGATACATGCCTCCGCCCCTGGCTGTATCGTATCTAGTTTCCCTGTGCGAACGGCGTAGACGGATTTGCTCCAGTCCAATTGCAAGGGTCTACGCACTTCGCAACCTTGGGATCATAACGATGATGGTAAAAGCACAACCACTTCGGGTTCTTCCGGGACATACTGCTGCTGCGTTGCCGCGACCCTAATCGCCTGGGCCTCCCCCTGTTTCTTGAATTATTGTTGCGTTGATTCGACCCCGACTGACGTAGTTCTGTTATTTCGATCTGCAGTTTACCCACCATGTCCTCTAAATCGCTGAGCTTGCTGGACGTAACTCTGCTGACTTCGGCAATTTCCGCAGGCCTGGTCGCTTCCATCACCTTATCCGCCACCGTCGCCAGGCTTTCCAAGTCCTTTACCTCGGTGACAGCTAGAACAGCTTGAACAGCCGTGGGTAAATGTCTGGTCCACATAATCTGGAGTGTAGCGTCTGGCATTTTATTCCTCGCGAGGTCCCGCATCCGACGTAAGAGCTGCGATGGCTTTTGAGCGCCGAGCTCCATCTCCCCCAGTAGTTTCTGAAATTGTCTGGTCTCTGACTCCTCAAACACCTGCAGAAGCCGATCCTTCAACGTCTGATACCTCCTTTCGGATGGCGGCGACAGCAGTAGATCACTTACCTGCTGTATAGCGCTCTTGCTTAATTTGGTTACGACCAGGTTTTGCTTGGCCGCATCCCCAATATTCTGGTTTTCTATGACGGCCTCGAACTGAACGAACCAGAGTCGCGGTTGGTCCGCCCAGAAGTCGGGTATTCTAGACGATACGCTGATACTCGCCAGCGCCACGGCACAATCTGCGCGGGTCTCCGTCGACGCCTGGTCGCTCTGGGCGGGCAGTGGTACCGGCGCGGGTGGAATAGGCGCTGCAGGAACTGGTACAGGTCCTGGTTGTAGATGCATATCTTACCGACACTATTTCACAAACGGTTCTTCACATGTCCCTACACACACTAATAATAAAACACAATAATTCTACTGATCACTTAAGTTCGCAGTTGTTTCGCTTCGAAGAATTCTCTTGTATCGCCAATTCAATACTGCCTCGGTAGCGGTCTATACCGGTCTTATATAGGGCCTCAGATAGTTTCTAGAACCTTCTACTGTAGCGACATCTAGAATTTTCGAGTACATATCGGTTCCGAAATTTCTAGAAGGATCTTGACTCCCTAGTTCTGCTACTCGACACTAGAGGGCGCTAATGGTGACTAGTGTTGCCATGTACAAGACATTAATAGTGGCGCGCAACATTATCAACTCATGAAGTTACAAGCCCACTAATGCACAAGGCTTTATCCATAGATTACCTGTACGAGTCGGCCACTCGAGAACTTATCTTCCTTCTATTGCTTGTGTTTATGATAGTATTCTGAAATATAGCATCTGCAGCCGATCAAGGAGACAAGTGCATCAGCTGTTAGCGCCATATCCCCAAGGTTAATCTAAATAAATAATTTATTGAAATAAAGCAAAACGGCTTTGTACTTTATGCTAACATAACTTAGGTTTAATGAAATTTAATGTATTACATATTATGTTTTACTTACCTACTTATTTAATCAATTATACTAAGTTACAAACAAGATAATAATTAATATTAATAATTTTGTTCCTCTCTTTTTTTTATTATGTACGAGCAACTATGCAGGTCTAGAGAGACCAGTATCACTACGACCTAAAATATCTATTGTGATCGCTGCTGTCTACAGTTCACCGCTAAAGCCTTCGTCCTCAATGAATAGAAGGAGTTGCTTAGTTGTAAATAATTTCACTTCATCTGGGCAAAGTAGATAGTTTCCCAGATGAGTGCTGTGAGATGCTGCATTTGCGCATTAAGGGTCCGCAATTTGTTAGGATGTGTATAGGTGTTTCCTCTAGGGAGCAAAACCGGCTCATCTTTGAGTTGCTTAGTCCCAGGATGGATATGGCTTTTTAAGACGTCAGTGTCCAGTCAGGGCTCTTACCAAAATGTGCAATTTATTTTTACCTAATCCCAGGGCTTCGGAAGCGAATTTACGATCGAACGCCCGGAATAAGGTTTTAAAATGTTTTAAACGTGGTGTATCAGACCATATCTTAAGTGATTTATTGTGGTAAAGAGTTTCCAGAGTCAATCGGGCGAGGCTTTGTTTTTTTTATCAGAATTAATATAGATTATATGGTTAACATTTTTGTAGATTGATTTCCGTACACTGAAGTATAGCGAAAATTTCTGCCTGGAAGATAGAGGTGAATCTACTAAGTTTGAATTTGGGGCGTTGCCCATAAATTCCAAAGCCTAATTTTGACCCATCTGTATACCATATAATGCTACTGACCTCACATATATCCTGTATATTCAAACAGTCTTCTCTTGAGGGTAGTTCTAGTGTATACTTTTTGTTAAAAGTATATAGTGGACGCATGATATGTGAGATCATGCATAAGACCGATGTTTCCTTGATTGAGTCGAGCATGGATCTTAATCTATAAGAAAGCAAGCTCAATTTAAATAAAACTAATTTTACGGATTTTATCGCGTATATTAACTTATTTTATATTCCCGACGTTTCGAACACTTTCCAGCACCCATGGTCACGGGGGGGGGGACTGAGGTGTATGACGTCCCAATGTCATAGTTAACCACGGCTACCTCCAGAATAAAAATTATTAATTTTTTATTTTACTGTTATAAATCCGTAAAATTAATTTTATTTAAATGTGTAGTGTTTGCGTAAAGGAAGCTTATACCGCCCTGATCGGTAATCCTATACAAACTAGCTTTCGCCTCCTTGTCTTAATAAAGATCAAGGGGCGTTAGGCCTAGAAGTGCATTAAGAGTCGCTCAAGGCGATGATCGCATCACTCCAGTTTCAGCCATTAAGCAGGCAGTTCTTTGTAGACTGTTTACGTAGATTTGCTCTCTCGGTATGCTTACCTAATATGCACCTACCTCATATGTAGCTATGGTACATAATGCTTATCGCAGTGCATCCCTAATATATCTATCTATAACCTTTTCCAATGTCTTAAGACGAAAAGAAGAAAGGCTTATAGGTCTAAAGGACTTATAAGCCTTAAAGCGTAGTCCTTTCTACCAGCCTTAAGTATAAATAAAACATTGACAATTGTCCATCGTTCTGGAATATATCCCCATGCAAAACTTCCTCCGAAGATTTTTACCAAAT